ATTAGTATCAATAATGAAAAGGGAAGCAGCTTAGCAATTTCAGATTTCAAACTTATTACAAAGCAGTAATCATCAAAACAATCTGGTACTGGCTAAGAAACAGAATGGTAGATCAGTAGAATACACTAGGTACACAATATTGAGTAGTAAATGGTCACAGTAATCTAGTGTTTGATAAACCCAAAGATCCAAACTTTTGGGGTAAGAATTCACCATTTCACAAAAATTGCTGGGAAAACTGGAAAGCAGTTAGACAGAAACAAGGCATACACAGACCATCATCTCACACTGTATATCAAGATAAGGTCAAAATGGATAAATGATTTAGATATAAAGGGTGATATCATAAGTAAATTAGGGGAGCATGGGAAACCTACCTATTAGATCTATGGATAAGGGAAGAGTTTATGACCAAACACGGGACAGAGGAGATTACAGGAAGTAAAATAGATAATTTTGATCATATGAAATTAAAAAGTGTTTGCACAAACAAAACTAATGTAGCCAAAATTAGAAAAAGAGGAAACAAAAAAAAATTTGCAAGAAGTTTCTCTGATAAAAGACTCCTTTCTCAAAGGTATAAGGCACTGAGCCAAACTTATAAAAATAAGAGCCACTCCCCAGTTGATAAATGGTGAAAGGATATGAACATGGAGTTTTCAGAAGAAGAAATCAAAGCTATCAATAGTCATGAAAAAAAAATGCTCTAAATCACTACCAATTAGAGAAATGCAAAAAAAACCCACAAATACTCTGAGATACCACCTCACACCTATCAAGTTGACTAACATGACAGAAAAGGAAAATGACAAATGCTGGAAGAGATATGGAAAAATTGGGGCACTAATGCGTTGTTGGTGAAGTCGTAAACTAGTCCAACCATTCTGGAAAACAATTTGTAACCATGCTCAAAGGGCTATAAAACGATGCATGCCTTTGATCGAGCAATATCACTACTAGGTCTGTATTCCAAAGAGATCAAAGAAAAGGAAAAAAGGATCTATTCATACAAAAATATTAATAGCAGCTCTCTTTCTGGTAACAAAGAAATGGAAATTGAGAGGATGCCCATCAATTGGAGGTTGGCTGAAGAAGTTGTGATATTGTGATGGAATACTACCGTGCCGTAAAAAATGGCAAGGAGGATACTTTCAGAAAACCTAGGAAGACTTATGTGAACTCATGCAAAGTGAAATGAGCACAAAAAAAAAAAAGTGAAATGAGCAGAACCAGGAAAACACTGTACACAGTAACAGCAATATTTTAAGGATGATCAACTGGGAAAGGCTTAGCTCAGGAGTGGGGAACCTGTGGCCTCAAGGCCACATGTGGCCTTCTAGGTCCTTAGGTACAGCCTTCTGACTGAGTCCAAGTTTTACAGGCCCTGCCCCACCCCACCCCCAGCTCCTCTGATCAAGACAATGATTCAAGACAACTCCAAAGGACCTATGATAAAAAATGCTATCCACCTCCAAAGAAAGAACTGATAAACTCTGAAGGTAGACTGAAGCATACTTTTTTTTCTTACTTTTTATTGTTTCATTTTATTTGTGTTTTCTTTTGCAACATGTCTAATATGGAAATGTCTGGTATGACCTCACATGTATAACTGAAATGTAAGCCCCTCCTTCTCAAGGAGTGGTCAGGGTAGGAAGAGGGCCATCTCCAGTCATCATGATCTATACCTCGCCATTGGACCTAGATGGTTCCAAAGGACAGACTGAGGCTGGTGACTTTGCATAGTCCCCCCTCACTTAAATCCAATTCACTTGTATGTCAGTCATGGCATCTCCTCACTGATGTCATGGTCCTCTTCAAGAATGAAGGACAATCACATCTGTGAGTAGAAAATAGGAGCTATCCCACTGTGGACCCAACTAGAAATGGCCAGTTGGGCAACGCAGCTTTCTCTCTCTTTCTTTCTATTCCCTCTGTCCACACAGGGCATCATATCCTTACCTACAGAAGCTCTGCCCAAAGGAACGTAAATTTTGATCCCAGAAACATTTTTTTTTTTTATTTTTTATTTGCTTTAAAGCCAAATCACTTTGGTTCTCATTGACTAGCCAACAATAGGTCCCATTCAGGCCAAGCCCCACTTGGTCTTTGTTTGGGCCCTGACTGGCTCAGAGTGAATGTAAACAGCAATTGTTTTGGTTTTGGCCAGAAACCCTGAGGGTCTTTCCCTCCCAGATAGATTTTTTTTTTTTTTTTGACTAGGTAAAGAGGCCATTCTCTGCCTCATTTCTTATCTAGCCTTCGTCACTGAATGGGTATTGCCTCAGTCATACTAAGACCTGTTAAAGACCTTAGTTTAAAAAGACCAAGGTCTTCCACTGTATCCTCTGCCATCTCCAGTTGCCCTGATCTGCGTCTCACCACTGGACTCAGATGGCTCTGAAGGAGAAAGTGAGGCTGGTGACTTTGTAAAGCCCTCCCTTTCTTAAATCCAATTCACTTACATGTCACGGTATCACCTCAGAGAAAAAACTCCCATTTATATCAAAATATTCATAGCAGCATTTTTTTTTTGTGATAACAAAGTAGGCTGGTCAGTCAAAAAAACATTTATTAAGCACCTATTATGTGCCAGGCATTGGGCTAAGCACTGGGAATACAAAGAAAAGCAAAAGGCAGGCCCTGCTCTCAGAGAGTTTACAATCTAATGGGAGAGACAGCATGCAAACAACTATAAATAAACAAGATTTATACAGGATAAATAAGTGATCATTTCAGAAGGAAGACACTAATATTAAAGAGAACTGAGAAAGGCTTCTCACTTTGGCTGAAACTTGAAGGAAGTGAAGGAAGCCTATACGTAGAGATGAGGAGAAAAATAGTTCCAGGCACAGGGGACAGTGAAAATGTCCAAATTGAGATGATGTGTCTGTCATGTGCAAGAGACAGAAGACTATGACATCAGGAAGGTGATGCCATGACATGCAAGTGAATTGGATTTTAGTAAGGGAGGGCTGTACAAAGTCACCACCCTCACTTTCTCCTCCGGTATCTCCAAGGGTAGGAAGGGGCTAGCTTATGAAGAGTTTCAAAAGCCAAAAAGGATTTATATGTGATCCTGGAGGAAAAAGGAAGCTACTGGAGTTTATTGAATACAAAGGTGAGGTGGTCAAATCTGTACTTAAAGAAGATCAGTTTGACAGATGAATAAGTGCCCATTCACTGGGGAATGGCTGAACAAATTGTAGTTTATAAATGTAATGGAATATTACTGTGCAGCACTATTAAGAAATGGTCATTAAAAGATGACAAATATGAACAATTCAGGGGAACTTGGTAAGACTCTTATGAATTAAGTGTATATAGAGCAAGAAAAATAGAACCAAGAGAACAACATATACAATGGCCACAATGACGTAAAGAAAAACAACACAGAAGACACTAGAATTCAGATTAAGGTAAGGACCAATCCTGATTCCAGAGAGCTGATAAAACTATTCCCCTCTTCCCAAAAGAGAGGTAATAATCAAATCAATCAACAAATATTTATTAAACACTTATTATGTGACAGGCGCTGCTCTAGGGCTGAAAATACAAATACAAAGAATGAAAACAATCCCTCCTCACAATGAGTTTATAGCCTGATGGAGGAGAAAAGGACATATAAAAATAAACACAGCATAGATATAAAATTAATATATACATATATGTACAAAGTAGTTAAATACAAGGTAGCTTGGGAGGGAAGGTATTACAAGTTGAGGGAACAGGAAAGGACAATGGATGTAGAATGCTATACACAACTGTCAGACAATTGATTTATCAGCTTTACCCTAACTGTTTCTCCATGAAAAGGTAAGGGTCTATGGCAGAAGCAAATTTATTAAAAAATGACAATAATGAAAAAATAACAAAGCACCATTTTTAAAAAAGTAGCTAACCAAAGATTACAAAAGATGGAGAGTCAATGTTTAAGGGATTCTAGGAAGAGAGGAGAGAGCATTATTAGGGGTGAAGTGGCCCAACCATTCTGCATTTCCATTCGGAATTTTGCAGAAGTGATTAAACTATTCATACCCTTTGACCCTGCAAATTCTCTACTGGGCCATCTTCCCTGCGACAGAACCACTTTCTACTAGAGGTCCCCTCCTATCCCTCTTTCCCCAGGAAATATTGGTTAAGCTAATTTTTCCCTGAAAGGCAACAAAATTGTCCCTAGGACTTTTGACTGGACAGGGAGATACAGCTTGAGCCTTGGTCCCCTGGGCTAATCAAATCTTGGGAAAAATTAGCTTAACCCATGTTGTTGTGGGAGAGGGAAAACCTATTAGATTGTGGTCCTACTACATACATACCTCAATGAAGTCAAAGACAGACACAAAGGTTATTTGTTTATGTGTCTGCCCACTGATTAGGGAATGGTTGAAAACTATGGTATACAAATACAATGGGATATTATCACACGGTAAAAAAAAAGATACAAGTACTCAGAGAAAGAGGAAGATTTGTATAAAATGATGCAGAACAAAATAAGCAGAATCAAGAACAGTATACACAATGACGACAACATGAATAAAAAGATCTCTAAAAGGAAATTAAACAGTAATGGGGAGAAAATGATGAAGGTCCAAAATTCCTCCCTCATGGCAGAGGTGGAAGAATACTAAGACAGAATATTGTATAAAATCAGATAAATTTCCACAGAAAATATTTTTGCTTAATTGTTTTCCTATGTCACCAAGAAGGGTTCAATCTGCAGAGGAGGTAGGAAATGATTGTGATGCAAAAGGTACTAATAAAATATTTTTCTTAGTTTTTAAAAAGACATTTTACTAATATCTTTAATTTTACATTGCATAAATTTCCCCTATATCCTTCTCATATCTCCCCCAAAATTATTTTTTTAAAAAGAAAGAAAAAAAAAGAGGAAAATTTTTTTAACAAAACTGACATTGAAAAAAATCTGATAATACATGCAATATTTCACATGAATAAATCTCCCATGCCTACAAAGGAGTGGCCAGGCAGAAAGAAAGAATTACCTGAAATACCGCTGGCTTAGTGCTCTGCTGACAGGGTTTAGAAGGGACCCCCAAGGCCCCGGAGAGAAAGCCATAGGGATTCTGGAATGAAATCCTGCAGAAGAAAACAAATTTATTTGTAAGAAGTTTTTACCAATAGCTCATTTGCACTTTGAAAAAGAACTACAACACAGGTTGGAGATGAAGGAAAGGACAGAAAGGCAGCACTCCCAGTACATGCATATTATCCACATAATTGGTACAATGCTCACTATCTAAAGAAGTTATGGATGAACAGATGTTTCCCAGGTTCCTGCTACCACCCAGATTCCCTGACCTTATCTTCTAGCCCTAGAGTTGGGGAGACAGGAATGCTCCTCTATTTTGTTTGCCGCAGACAAAGCAGCTACCAAAACTCAAAGGAATCCAGCAGGAAACAAGTATGCCTTGGTTATTTTCAGAGTTATACCACTTCCAGACAAAAAGCTATCAGGTATACACTTAGTTTGAGACCACTTCCCAATTAATGTTTCTATGACTTTCTTGGAACTGGACTTTGCCTAAAGAGAAGAATTATCCAACACTGATTATCTAAATAATTGCATCCAAATGTTGTGACTAACCTGTTTATTGTCATGTCACCCTTTCCCCTAAATCCAAGAGCTTAGAAGTCTAAGTAGCAGAGGGGTGTGTAGATAGTTTTCCTCAACTGAACTCTAAAGTCAATTCCCCCAAAGGGCATTTTTCACCATGTAGTTCCCACAATCGCCAGGCTAATATTAACCAAAGAACTCTAAATAGGCAGCTAGACTATCACAAGGAGACACAGTTGGAGTTAAAAAGCTTTACTAAGTATTTAAGGGAAAGAAAACAAAAGGCACAAAGTAAACTTTTAAGTCTATCTTTCACTTATACCCCTCAGAAACTTGAAAAAGTCTATCCACTCAATCTCTGAACCTGGTCAAGAAAAAGGGAACAGAGCTGAGTCATCCCTACTCCTTCCCAATGCCATTACCACGTTTTGTAGGAATATGCCAGCAAAAGTCTGAGATCGAGCACATCTCAGTCTGAGTCCCTACTTTGCCACCTGTAAGACATAACCTTGGAAAATAATACTCTACTTACAAGACACAAGCCAGTTCTTTAGAACAAAAAAAGATAATTCATGTCAAAGTACTTTTAAAAGTTTGAAGAACTAATCATATACAAAGTATTGTAATTATCCATTTGCTTATATTCTTTTTTTCAGAAAAGGAAAAAAAAGTAAGAATTTTTAAAATAAACTAACAAGATAAAGTAAAGAAATCCACTTATATTCTGTAATCACTGGCTCCCTTTTATGATGTCCTCTGAAGAAGAAAAATCAAAGCAACACCATTTCATCACAGGGTCCGAGGAAAATTAGGTGCCAAGAAGCTAATTTTGTTTGTAAAGTCATCAACTAAAGGAAAACTCCAGTGAACACTAGACTTAAGATGAACTCTCAAATATGGGCATAATCTGAAAAGACCAACTAAATTACTGGCATATCTTGACTAGGCATGTGCCTTGCACACCACAGGCTAAATATACTGAAAGCACTCAGGATGAGAGAGAAAATAGAAACAAACAAACAAAATGACAAAAACAAAGATTTCATATATACCAAAATATTTATAGAACTTTTTGTGGTAGCTAGGAATTTGAAACCAAGTAGCTGCCCAATAACTACAATGGCTAAATTAACTGTAGTACATTAATATAATGTACTATTACTGTGTGTCAGAAACAATTAACCTAACTAATATAGAGAAACATGGGAAATATGGATACAAAGTGAAGTAAGCCACATCAAGAAAACAATATGCTCAATGACTACAATGTAAATGGAAAGTAACAGCAACAAAACAATTGAATCTCAATGCTGCAAATTATAATAATCAACCTTGGCCATGAAGCATACTATTTGCTATTTTTTTTCTTCTGTTGTGTTTTGTTTTCCCTTTCTGGTGGTTCCTCCTATTGGTTCTAATTCTTACTTACAACATCACTAATGTGAAAATAGGTTTAACAGGAAGGCATATGTACAGCCTATATCAAATTGTGCACCGTCTTGGGGAGGAAGGGGGAGAAAAATTTAAAACTCAAAAGCTTATGGAAGTGACTGTTGATAAATCAAAATAAATTAATTTTAAAAAATAAATAATAAATAAAAAGGTGATCAATGGTTAAAAAAAAAAAAGAGGAGAAAGAGAAGACATCTTCCTCACTTCAGAAGTCAGGGACCAAAAGTGTGTAATACTCCCTATTAGTGTTTTTATAGATTTGCTGGCTAGGTTTATTGAACTTTTCCTCCCATTTCTTCTTTTTCTGTTACTTATTATGAGTGACAGCTCTCTGGGAGTGGGTGAGGGGAGATGGTAGAAGTAGAGCCATAAAAATAAACCAAAAAATCAATAAAAATTTCTTTCAAAAAAAAAAAAAAAACAGGACAGTACACGGCTTGTGCTTGGTTCCATGAGTACCAACAACCTCTAGAACAAAATAAAATACAGGGAGGGCAGAACAGAACGGTCTTTCCAAAGACCACATTCTGTACGAGCTGGCCCTGGACCTTCCTGACGCTTGGCCCTGCTGCCTCATAGCACTCAATATAGCAACTTTAACCACACGCAGCAATGGTGCCTCTTCTCCCTTCCTCACCTATGTCTTTGTTTAGATCCGGGATGAAAGGAAATCCTGACAAGTGTCCAACAGAGGCATGGGCCTAATTTTACCACCAGAAACCCCACCACTGACAGAAAATTCAAGAATTCAGATGAATAAAAATCCATATTTCCACTGCTACAGTATTTACATATAACCCCTTTCTTCCCACAAGTTCAAAGCACTATAGATAAGATTTTATTAATGTGGGTGAAAAAAAAAATCACTGTTTACCTTCACAGGGATCCCTACCTGAGCACTCAATAAATATTTACTAAGTACTAAATCCCTCCCTCCCCAATTCCTAATCTCATTCTCATATTCCTTAGGGAAACAGCGTATGCAGAACAAATAAAGGCCTTTAGAAGTCTCCTCAATGTCCTTGCTTTACAGATGAGGAAACTGAGCCCCAAAGAAGTTCAATGGCTTTCCAAAGGTCACATAAGTCACTTGGGAGAGCCAGGATTTCAACCCAGGTACTCCGACTCCAAATTCATAGCTCTTATCACTCCAATTTTTTTTTCCAAAGAGCCTCTAAGAAACACCCCGAAATAACCCAGTTAAGAACCAGAAATCTTCATTCCAAAGGTAATGATGGGAAAATCAAGTGTCACATAAAAGCATCTCAGTTTCTAGAATTTGAATATCTGACAGAGAATTGGCACACTTTTGTAAAAGACTGCCATTTCTCTTAGTTTAACTCTCAGAACTATCATAGCTGTTTAAAATTCAAATATGAATCTTATTCCAACTGTTAAATCATTCATGTTGCAGAAGCCAAATCAGTTTCCACTCTGACAGCAGACATGAATTTTACTCATCCCAATGTTTGCACTGTCAGCTAAAATGCAGACTAAAGACCTAGGGAGAATGATCTACTTTATTCCATAACAACTTTCTTTCTTTACATTTTTATTGTCCAAGTTCAATTTTGAGGATGATTCACAGGGTTAGTTCTGTGGCAAGAAGAGCTTGAAGCTGCTTTTAACCAAAAATTATAATTGAAACAAATTATTCAAAGCTTCCTCTTAAAAAAAAAAACCTCAGTATCTTGAAACATAGTCTGCAATAAAATGTAAAATATTAATTACTTAGGAAAAAAAAAAGAAACATGATCTGATACAAATCATGTACAACCATTACCACAACTTTGGGACAACTTCTCAGGTGACTGTTTTAAAGCACTCACTCACAACTCCCTGCAGCAGACCCACATGAAAACCTGGGAGGAAGGATAGAAAGCAGCTACTTGATGTCCCCTAAGAGAGATTTAGGGTTAATATATCACCACCCACATTCTTCTCTCTAGAGCATTGCAACATTAACACTTCAAATGAACACTCAAGATGTTTACATTTAGCCCAAGAACTACAATTGAGCCCTTGGGACTTCCTGAAACTGGAATTAGATCAAACTGGTTTGAGGGCATGACATTTGCACAAACAAAAAACTGGGCCTTAAGCCTCCCATCTCCAGTCATTTACTATAACCCTCTTCCCTACTTGTTCCTCAAACCCCTTTTTTCAACCTATCCCACTCCTACTCAGCTCAAACCTTGTCTCGGAAGCCTCTCCTAACACCCCTGATACCCCCTTTTCCTTGGAAGGAGAGAATAGATACCTCTAATTCAACATTTTCATAAAATTTATCTTTTTGAATGTTAAAGTACTACTAAAATGTCACCTATTATTAATTCCTTGTATCTCTTCTATAACTGGCAAAGTAAATATTAGCTCATTGATCAGGTTAGAGAATTGCCCTCCGATATATCTTCAGGATCATCTGGAGATTAAGGTCTCTGCATCCAAATCCAATCCAATCCTATTAATCGAATGGCTCCAATTACTCCAAATCCCATGCCCTCAAAAAAACCACTCACAATTAACAGCACAGTTAACATAACCACCTCATAACTAAAAACATTAGATTTTTAAACAAGCCTGTTGTGTATATTGGAAAAGCGAGTGAGAACGTTATCAAGTACTGACCAACAGAATCATAAGAGCAAAAATTCAGAGCTGAAAGTGACCAGGTGCCACCCGATCTAACTTCTTCATTTTACAGATGAAGAAACTAAGGTTCAGAGAGAATAAAAAGTCTTACCCAAGAGTTGCACAGGTATTTAAAGAGGCAGAGTCAAATTTCATACTGAAATCCTGTGACTTCAGATCCACCTATACCATTCTACCTTTTAGACAAGAAATCACTTATTTCAAGCAACAGCTACAGGACTTCATTCAAGAAATGCATACTACACTTGACTTTCATTTTGCAATGAAACAGGCCCCATTTCTCCAGGTAAAATACCATACCAACTAAAGTATCTTTGCACTCATGTCTATATCTGTGTAGTCATAGACTACAAGCTCTTCTAAGAAAGTACCTGCAACCTAGTACAAGAGCAGGAGGAGGAAGAGAAGTGTGGGTTTT